TACTTAATATAAATTATGTATAATATATAATAAATATAATATATAATAAAGTAACATTAAGTTCATAAAAAATGTATTCTCTACTTATAGCTAACAAAAGTCATAACATCACATCTCGGAAAGCAAATGTTACATGCGGTAAAAATTTTGGAATTGAAATTGCACGACCAAAGTCAAAATGACTGGTCTGGTAAATCTAGTGTTATAACCGCAATTCGCGTTGGGGCTCACCTGTACACCTCGTGTCCAGGCGGATGTCTCCACAGACACTTCTCTCTGTGTCTTCTCAGCACTTGGCGACTCTTCGCGTATCTCAGACAATATTCGCAGAGATATAGCTTCGGGGCGCGGCTGTACTCCTCGGGATACGGGCTCTGATACCAGACCTCCATTTCCCATTTTCCCATCTCTATGACCCGCGTGCCGCCGCCGTTTCTACCCTCGCCATCGTAGTCCAGTTCTCTCAGCTCTTTTTCCTTAGAATATAAGAAAGAACACGGTTGGAAACACAAAAGAGGTTTTTTTCAAAATCCTGATTAAAATGTTAAAAAACAAAAGATTTAAAAAAACTGTTCACATGTAACTTTAAACTGTAACCAGTCGCTTACGATTTTTTCACTAGCTACTGCCTGGGACTCCTTAAACAGTTTCAGGTCGTAATCGGGTGTGAGATTGTTCAACCGAGGCTGCCTGTCCTTCTCGTTTCCCTGAAGCTCGCCACCGCTGTCGCTCTCGTTACCGCCTTCGCTTTTCCACTTGTTCCTCAGTTCTCGTATCTTAAGCTGAAAATTGCGTTGCTGCTCGGTTGTGGGCTGATGAACGCCCTTGGGTTTCTTCGCTAAATTGCTCAACGCCTTCTTGCGTTCCTCTTCGCGTTTTTTTCTTTCTTTGCAAAACTCTCTGGAAAAAAACAAAACGTTTTTCTCCACAACTCTGCGGACGATAAGTCCATACGCGAGTTCAACCTGTGTTCAACTTACATACAAGCCTGTGGCGTGGTGTTGTGATAGAGCGGACACGCTTCAAGAGTGAAGTGCGACTCGAATTTTCCAGAAAGATGACCTCGCGAGTCGCAGCCAGCCAGCGGACATTCTCGTTCCTTCGTCGCGCGTCCTCGATTGTATGGAGCCTGGCCTGTCTTGTTCCCAGTAGCGTTCGAGGCCGAACTGCTATTCTGCGTCGATCTTCCGCCGGCCGCGGAAGACTGCCTGGCGGTGGTGGACGGTCCGGCGCGTTTGACGGGCGATTTGCTCGCGCTTCTCTTGCTTTCGGCTTTTTGTTTTGAACAAATCGCAATTAAAACAGACCTTAGAAACTCGAAGCGAGGTTTTATAATACAACGATTTGCAATCGCCTCTTACCGGTATCAGATTCGGAATCACTCGCCGCCTTCGCCTGCAGCTGAAGCTGTTTACTTCCCTTACGTGTCTGCAACTTTCGTTTGCCTTTCGCTGCTGTTTTCGAAGGCGGCGTTTCCTGATCGTCCACGTCCTTCTCACTCGCGGACGCGTCTTCGTCGTCGTCACTCTTCACAGCACCTGTTCGCGCGCGCAAAGTTAAAATAAATTTTTCTGTCTTGTTTTTATACAAGCGTCACGTTGAAAAGAAACCTGTCAACAAACCTTGTCTTTTGGTAACTGTCTTCTGCGCTTTCACCGGAGCGACCGCCACCGAGGGTCTCTTAGACGGCACGTTTACGATGTTGTTGTTCGGTGGCGCGCTGCTAGGTTGCGTTGTTTCTTTCTTCTTCGGTTGGGGCTGAGAACTGGTTACGCTCTCGGACGATTCCGAATCCGTGCTGCTGTCCGTACTACCCGAAGACGCCGAACCGGCAGAACTTTTCGAGCTCGCGGAACTGTCCGATTTCTGTGGCGGCACAGCGGGTTTCGCAACTGTGAGAGGTACAACATCACGTAAAGCCATGGGTTTTTCTCAAATTTGCGCAACAATAAAGACAATCATTTGCATTCAATATAATACACAAGATACGATTACTTACCAGGTCTGCTGGCTACTGCGGACTTTTGCTTGGCATCGTTCAACTTCGCCTTGGCGGGAGGATTTTTTGAGCATTTGGCAGCGTTATTCGCGGGTTTTACCGGACTTACTTTAGCCGCGATGCCACTGTCGCTTTCGCTACTGTTCTCCGGACTGAATATGCTTTTTTTCTTAAATTTTTTTGGAGCTGGTTCCAATGTTTTTCCAGATTTCTCAAGATTCTTATTATTTGTATTTACGGAACCTTAAAAAGAACATTGTACAATATTTCATTAGATATAAAATAGAAGCCTGTATATTTTACAGAATATAAAACAACACACTTGTTACGATAGAAGTTTTATTAAAACTCACCAGAAAATTTAGCGGGCTTGCTGACAGGTTTTGGAACAGGCGCAGTTTTGTGCTGAGCCGATGATACAGGTACTGGTTTAACAGGAGATCTTTGTGTTTTCACAACTGGTGCAACGGTGGCGGTTGCCTTTGGCTTGGCTGGCGCCTTTCTCTTCTGCGGCGATTTTGCTTTAGTCGGCGACTCTTCGGATTCCGAAGAATACACCGTCGGTCTGGACTTTGGCGGCGGTCTGTCCTTGCTCTTATTCTCCAAAGGTGGCACGAACGTTTCAGTTTTGGACTTGACATGACGAGCGGCTGCAAACGGCACCTTCTTCTTGGTTCTTTCCGTATCGGATACTTTTTGACTGTTAGCGGAACTGCTGGAGTTTTCCGAATCAGACGAACTAGATTCGCTGCCTGAACTCGACGAGCTGCTCGACGAAGAGCCCGAACTGGTGGATGACGTAGATTCCGAGCTAGTTGCCTGCGAGATGAAAAAATTTCATTACATACGCAACAAGTGTCTCATTGGTTTTTAAAATAAATAAATAAGATAAAACAAATTGCGTATTGTTCTTAAAAAAAAAGAATACAAGGAAACGGGTGCGCAAAATATATATCTAACTAAAAAAAAGAGAATTAACGCAATCAAAGGTTACTATTTTGAGTTATAACCTCCGCACTTGCCTTCCGTTTGGGTGTCATTTTGCCCCCAATGTTATCTCGCAAACGATCAAAGAAGATCGTTGATTATCATCTTCGCGGAGACATTTCTGATTTTTGATGAGTTTCCGCTCGCAGAAATCACTTATTTACAAATTGTTACGTTAGAAAAACATCACGTACACACAAAACTGACACACATGATTACGTACAGACGCTATCGCGCCAATTGGCGACCTCTGGATTTACGTCGGCCATTTGCGGGAAACAACAACATGGCGTTTGACGATAAAAATCAAATTTCGAATCGCGCAAAATAAACGATCGCTTACCGATCTGCAAAAATCTGCAAAAATCTGCAAAAATCGTCATGATATCGTCAATGGAATGTAGTGTTTTTTTGCAAAAACCGGCGCGAGCCGCGCTCGTGTCGGAACGTTTCTCGCCTAACGTCTCGCCTAACGCTCGCGCGCGCTCATTGGCCCGCGCGCTCACTGGCCCGCGCGCTCATTGGCCCGCTGCGCGCACGCCAACCGACGCCACCTTCAGGCCGGTGACTCATTCGAGAACGCGAGCTTCGCTTTCTACTTTGCGTTATCCGAACTTGCGCCCCCAATTTCTCGCGCAATTCGTTTCTCTCTTGCACTTCTCGTTCTGCGGTGGAACAGTACGCGCAACAACACACACAACAGTTGTCTTGGAATCTCCGATCTCTCGAAACCTACCTACCTACCTACGCAGTAAAATTTGTTCCCCGCAATGACGGACGCTAACGATATCGTGTGCAATATAAAGGCCAGTAACTGCGGTTTGAAAAATGATAAAAAGGATAAGAAGGACAAGGATGTCGCCGACGCGTTTGGAACTTTCGGGAGGTATCGAATAATTAAAATTTTCTTTCTCGTTTGTTCTCGTCACAATTGCGACGCGCGAGAAAATGCATTCACCGCGTTTTTTTTTTTTTATCAGCGAGATAATTCGTGACTCACGCGCGCGATTCGCATAATCGTTTTTTCTCGCACACAAAGAAATTAAATCTAATTTTGTCAATGGCGCAAAAAAATTTCATACGCTTTGAATAATTGAGTTGGCCTCGTGGGAAATTGTATCGGACGCCATTAATGCGTTCTGTGCAACAATATATAGACGCATACTGTTTACATCGCGTTGCGATCTATATATCGTGGAATCACAATCGTGCATTTGCAAAATCAAACCATCTGGACGATGAATGCGCGCAAATGTTCGAAGTATTCGAAAAATTTTGGAATTTCCAACACACGTGTATCTCGAAGAGAGCTTGAAATTCAAAACCCGAGCTCACGAAGAACACGGTGTTGTTTGTCAGATTTTATAACTGTATGAAATATTGATAACAATGTCATTGACGATGTGTCACGTCGCTGTTTTGTTGACATATTAATTATTTTCAATTGATATTGTTGTCAAAATGTTGCGCCAGTCAGACTCAAAAGCTTTACGCTTGAGAGGTCTTTGTTGACACGTGTAGAGATTTGAATACAAGATAATGTAAAATATTCAAAAAGTCGAATTTGTTATTGTTTGTAAATGTTTGTAGATTTTAAATGTAATTAAAAACCAAAAATCTAATCTAAAACAAATAATAAAAAAGACCTACAATAAGCCAACGAATAAGATGCGCCAGTCAGACTCAAAAGCTTACGCTTGAGGTCTTTGTTGACACGTGTAGAGATTTGAATACAAGATAATGTAAAATTCAAAAAGTCGAATTTGTGTTATTGTTTGTAAATGTTTGTAGATTTTCAATGTAATTAAAAACCAAAAAACTAATCTAAAACAAATAATAAAAAAGACCTAGAATAAGCCAACGAATAAGATGTTGGTTTGTGACATGGTCAATGTATCTTTTCAGGACCCCAAATGTTCCAAATGCTCATCCGCCAGTAGCACCGACTAGACGTTACGACGCTTACTACAAAATGAATCATCCAAAACGTGGCTTGGCTCTGATTTTCAATCATGAATTTTTTACACTATCGCATCTCAAACCTCGATCAGGCACAAACGTAGACTGTGAAAATCTAAAGAACGTATTTGCAAATCTCGGTTTTGAGGTCAACGATTATCATAATATAACTCACAAAGACATGGTGAGACAATTAGAAAGAGGTAATTTCAAACTTGTTTGTTTGTTTTTATTATTTGTAACAAATTGTTTATGTTCTTTAATTTTATCTCAGTGCATTTTATATCAGACAAATTATTATTGTCTTTGCAGTTGCTGAAATGGATCATTCTGATCACGACTGTTTGGTGGTAATTGTATTGAGTCACGGCGAACAACATTTGCTCTATGCTCACGATAATTCGTACAAAGCCGATCTTCTTTGGAATCATTTTACTGGCGACAAATGCCCGACTCTTGCTGGAAAACCAAAATTGTTTTTCATACAAGCTTGTCAGGGCGATAAACTTGACCCGGGTATTACTCTCAAGGAACGGACCGAAACTGACGGACTGCCAGTTAACACATTTCGTATTCCCACTCAAGCAGACTTCATGATTGCCTACTCAACAGTTCCAGGTAATATAATATTTTATACATATGTGTGCGCAAGGATGGAGCAACTTAGATTGTCAATATTCTGAGAAGATTTATAGATTCGACTCTTCATCATAGATTGCAAAATGCAACAATTTATTAATTGTCCATCTAATTTGTTTCTTTTTTTTTTTTTTTTTAATCATTTTTTATGCTCCTGGAAGCTAAAACAAATTTCGGAATTTCGCAGGCTATTACTCTTGGAGAAACACGAGCCGCGGATCGTGGTTTATCCAAGCATTGTGCATAGAACTGAGAGAGAATGGTACGAAAGAAGATCTGTTGACTCTCTTGACGTTCGTATCCCAACGTGTTGCCATAGATTTTGAATCAAACACGCCCGAGAACTCGACAATGCATTTACAAAAACAAATACCGTGCATTACCTCGATGTTGACGCGTTTGGTAAAATTCACGAATTCAAAAAACGGATCAGTATAGCTTGTAGATAAAAAGGAACTCTGCATTTACGTATGCATTTATCTATTTGTATAATTTCTTTTTTTTTTTTATATGAACTACTTTGAAGACTTTCCGGCAACCGACACAATCAGTGCGGTGTTACTTATCCCTTTGTTGCTGCTTTTTAACGCAACGATGAAAATTTACGTCGGTATCATGAGTGTCGAATCGTTTGTGCGCTCTGATGACCAAAACCAAAGAGAGAGAATTTAACCGCGTTCGCGAAAGAATTTAGTGATTGAATCTTTTTTTTTTAGATCTGTTGCAAATGTAAAGGTGTATTGCAAATAAGAAGTAATAATCACAAAGCGTTTATTAAGCGCTTGATTTTGTCGCTTGAACGCGGCAATTGCTTACTCTTCAATCTATAGCAACTCGATCGCTGGTTTTTTTGAAAGGTTTTACGAATGTAAACCTTTTTCGATCAAGAGAATTTTGCACGGGAAAATACTTTTTTAACACCTTGACGCTGGGGACCGCATGTGATTCAGATCTCCACTAGGCGCCGGGGAACGCATATATGCGTCATTTAGATTGTTCACAAAAATAAGCAGATAAAACGGTATAAATTTCAATTTCTCTTCAGAAACGTTACAACAGATGTTTTACGAGTTAGAATAACTGAATATGTTTTTTAATTTTCTTGTTTTATTTTGTAATGATATCCACGTTGAAACCTTGTATATGTTAAAGCGATAGGATACGACTTCAAAGCTTCTCTGCTGCCGATACTTGAACTGTGATTATGTAAGAGCAAAATAAGATAAGAATTCGACGCTTTGCCGCATACAATGTTATGTATGTTTGCGCTAGAGCAATAAATAAGTACACCTTTCAGTCTTCTCTAGGTTTTCGTAACTCGTATATGTTTCTTCAGGAAATTTTCTCACTTCTCAACAGTTTTCGCAAAGGAAAATTTGAATTTCTATTTTTATAGATTGTTTTCTTGCATATATATATATATATATTTAGATATATATATATATATATACAATATATATATATATATTATATATATAACATATATATATTATATATATGTTATATATATTACTCACGATTAATGCTATAATAAATAAATAAATAAATAAAATATACAAATACTAACTTTGATAATGTTAAATTTCGCGCAAGCGCGTTTGTCAAATGTTTTTACTTTATAAATTAAAAACGTTGAAAATTTCTAATAATTGCGAGTTTTTAAAAAGTATCAATTTCTTATGCAAAAAAAAGTAATCTCTCTTTTTCTTCAAAATTTCATTGAAAAATATTATTATTGGTTCAAAAGTTATATAACAGTTTTTCTAAAATATCGCGCAATTGCTCGAAATTCTACGAATTTTCCCCGGTTCCGCGTAAAGGTCTGCTCCAAAAGGGCCCGGGCGTCAAGGTGTTAACGTAAATTGGGCGACTTTTAGACGATTTTTTTAAAAAGTGTATTTTCGCTTTTGACATTACAATCCGCAAGAGTTCTGCAAGTATTCAGAAATCATTAGACTGTATCCCCAATTTGACACCGTGATACGTGTCGTCTGGAAGGTATTCTTAATTTAGCATATCTAGTATATTAGATTCTGTTCTCTCTCTTTGCATCAAGTATAAAAAAAACAAAAAAAAAAAAAGTTAAGCTCCTAGTTGGCAATATTGGCACTAGTATCTCAAATTATTTTGCGTGCCATAGATTGCTAACATCGTATTTTAGTAATGCACTTTGTTTGTAATTTCAACTATTTGTTTGTGTAAGTCTCGTGTAGGCACATTGCGTTTAGATTAAAAAAAAACAGCAACAAGTAAAATTACTTCCCGGTAAGCAGAGTGAAAAAATATGCCGGCCCCGATCGTCGGCAATTTTACACACTTTAAGACAAATACCGTCTTTTTGACGTTTATTTCGAACAAAGTTTGTTTATCAGGGTTTAGGATGATGACAAATTTAGAACATACTTTTTTGTATTCTTTTTACATCAAGTTTTGTAACCTATTTTACTTATTACACTATTTATACTACTTTCTGTTTTTTTTTTTAACAGAAAAATAAAAACTGATCATGAATATTTCTTATTTTGTTTTTTTTTTTTTTTTAAACACAGCGTTGAGACCAAGACTTCCCATGGATGCGCGGTAACAACCAATAAAAAATTTTTTAATTCAATAGGTGTGTGCGACAGTTTTTTAACTTGCAGTTTTCCATCTTTTGCGAGAGCAACAATTAAGAAAAGCGGGAATTGTCTCGATTCTGAAAAGGTGTTATGCATGATAACACCTTTGTCCACTTGATTTCACACGTGTTACATGACAGAAAGAAACGTTACGTTGTGATAAAAAAAAATAGCATTTTGTCATTATTTTGATACAACGCAACTTTTAACCCATTTGCATCACAAAGAAAAGTCAAAAATTCGTTCTTATCACCAAAATTTTTTTTTTACTGTATTTAAATTTTAACGAAAATGTTACAAAATATGAAAAATAAAATCAATATTGCATAAATAAAGAATTTTGGTATTTTTCTGGTATAAATAATATGCGCTTTGGTGATAAATGCCTAAGTAAAATGCGCTTATGATGCAAATGGGTTAAAGAGAATAACATAAACATTTAAAATAATACAATACAAGATACAAGAACATATTTGCCGAGAATTTCAGAAATGATTTGACTTTCTGACGTTCTCTCATCTCAACTTGAAATACACACGATAAGTACAAAAAAAATTTTTTACGAACTACAGTAAGACACGTTATTAATATATATACGATTATTAATCATATTTTTTGTCATTAATATAACTTCATATAAAACATATAAAACATATAAAAAATTTTATATATATATATATATATATATATACATATATATATGTATATATATAATAAAAATATATCAGTCTATTACAGTAGAATCGATGTTATGCATTACATACAAATAGAATATTTTGTAATTGCGTATACACATATATATTTATACATATATATGGGTACGACTGTCTTAATTTTTTACAGTTATATAACATATATTTTATACCGAAAAACTTGTGAAAGCAATGTGTGTGTATGTTCTTTGCAATAAGCAATAGCCCAGGCCTTCGACGAAACGATGTTCAACGATGTTCATTTTACAAATGCATATATAGCTGTAAAATCTGTCCTGAGACGTGAAGTGTAGTTGTGATTTTTATTGTAAGCCCGCAAATCATACACGCAACGAGTATTTACACTGCAATGAAAATATTACGAAAAAAAAAAATGTTACAAAAAATATTTAAAAAAGAAAATATAAAAAAGTTGCTTCGTAATTAGACTTATGCGACATCACCTGCGTGCAAATATGAAAAAAAAAAAAAAAATTGCGAGCAGGTGAGCAATGGCGTTGTATATCGATATAGTTCAATTAACCCTTCGCGTATATTTGGCTAAATAATTTTAAAGTCTCGGGGGGAGATCTCTGTAAAAACTCATTTTTATAGAGAAACAAAATTACAAGAGATCACGTACTAACGAATATTTATGAATATTCATTAAAAAAAAAAAAAATAATAAATTGGTCACGCATGAAAAACAAATGAAAAACTCAAAAAAGTCTTCGGTATTCCGAGATATCAGATACCCCCCGCTTAAGCCACAAGCGAAGAGTTAGAAACGTAAGCTAATCTAATATATGGAGAAATAGATAAGAGAATTTAAAAAAAAAAAAAAAAAAACAAATTTTATGGCAAAAAAAAAAATTTATTCGCAAGAGAAACGGTAACAAAATTTGCGAAACGTGATACAGAGTCTTTCATAGTTAAGATTTAAACATATTATACATATGTTTTGATATATATAGCTTATATTAAAGAACTATGTAAGACTAATGTACGCATATATGTATAAACGCGCACGTGCGTGTATGTTGCAGTAGACATTTTTTGACCGTTTATAATGACGATAGTTTCCGCAAAACACGCAGCAACTTCTCTCTCTGATTTATTGTTCCTCGTACAATTATAAGATGTTTACAACAACTTTGCCACCTAACAACAACCGCATATTTTGCAACGTAAACATCTTCGTCTGACTTCACAACAAGGAGATTGCTCAAAGGTTTTTAAGATGTCATTCGTTGCGAAATAAAAATCGCAATGCGCCTCCCCGCGCATTGTGTTGTGATAAATGTTGTGCTAAGAATGACCATTTATATGCGTATGCCACGTGAAATCGCATAAAAAAAAAAAATTGCAACTTTTGAATCGATGTTACCGTATTTGATAATGCATTTTTACCAGTAATCTTCGTACCATTAGCTTTACTGACTTATGTGTTGTGTATCGTCTATATTTGGAAAAAATCCATATACAATCGTCTTATATACACAAACATTTGTATACAAAATTTACAGAATAAACTGAAATGAGATTAAACGCAGAATATTGGGCGTCCGATAATTTTTTTCCAAAGTCTTCGTCCGCCTTCTACTCGATCGAATTGTCTTAGAAATATATAAAAATTCCAAGAAAAATGTAATAAATTAAACAGAAACGCTCGTAATGTAAAAACAAATTAGTAAATGAAAAAAGTCACATCGAGCCAAAAAAAAAAGATATTAATATAATAATATAATGATTTAATGATAAACACTTACATATATAAAATTTACATATTTACATATTTAAATTTTTTGCGTATTTTTTATATATATATATATGTAAGTGTTTATCATTAAATTATTATATTATTATATTAATATCTTTTTTTTGGCTCGATGTGACCTCTTTCATTTACTAATATAAAAATTCGTTTAAAACCCGAAAAAAAATTGCGAACTTTCACATACGTCACAACAATTATTATTGGTATTTTTTATATAAAGTTTGATATACATCTAAATAATTCTAATATTGAAAAAAAAGGGAAATTTATATGCTATAACAATTTCATTTTGGATAGAATATTTATTTGAAAATTTCATGAATTTACACCATCCTTCTAAGAAGTTCGTTAATTTTATCTTCTCGATTTCCAAAATCACCTCCTTCTACGTAATGGTTGGTCTTCTTACGCCAGCCACCGGTTGGTGTATTGAGCTGGAAGTACAAAAAGTTTCGATTTTTATATTTGTATGTAAATAAATGTAAATTATTGAAGTGCAAAACGCTGATACACATCGTGGGATTAAAAATTTGTTTTTGGTTTAAAATACAAGTGTTTGAGCTTCTCAGATTTCTGTGACACAAAGATATCACTTTTATCGAAGAGAAAAGCTCGTATTGCTTTTCGACATAAAAGGAGGTTGATAGATTTTAATGCATCTAACTACCATGCCTATGTCGTAATATATAAATTTTTAATAGATACGTGTTTAACACTAGATATACCAGCTATTTAATACCATATATTACCATATATTTATTACCATATATTTGTTACGAATATATATAAAGTAACATTAAGTTCATAAAATGTATTCTCTACTTATAGCTACAAAAGTCATAACATCATTTCGGAAAGCAAACGTTACATGCAGTAGGAATTTTGAATTGAAATTGCACGACCAGTCAAAATGACTGGTCTGGTAAATCTAGTGTTAAATCCTTGAGAAAAAAGAAAAAAATACGTACTTTGAAAGGCCACAGGAAATTGCTGGCGTACTTGAACCTTGGCCCAACGGTGAATATTTCGTGAATCAAATCCTCGGTACATATAATATTAGATTTACCTGAAAAAGCAGTTTAAAGAAATTTATTCCAACTGTTGATATAAACGAATTAGTTAGAAAATTTGAGAAAGAAATGTACAACTTAAAACAAACTAAATACAGAATATATAAATTGTAATCAGCAAAAAATAAATTGCATTATTAATTTTTGACAAACTGGAAGGAAGAATGTGTTTTTATTCTCGAGACTTCCATGGATTTGTCAATAGAATTTATAAAAATGTTTATTAAAATAAAAATGTAATTGTCAACACATTGTTGAAAACCGGTTACTTGACAAAACTTTTATTTACTTACCAAGCTTTTTTTCAATGATAGAGTTGCTGGTAATTGGAATACGCTGTCTATTTATCTTGGCAAAACCGCGCTTGTAGATCAATTCGCGTACCGACTTCAAGTTAGGATATCCCCACGTGACGTAGGGCTCGATGATACGAAGCATATTAATCGTAGCTTTGTTCAATTTGATAAACACGCCGTTGTTGATCTGTTTCAGGCGGAACAGTTGCAACACTTTCCTGACTTTTGGCGCAACTTGATTTATACTGACAAATTTTTTACAAAAATTACAGTCAAAGTTAAATTAACGATCAGATACATCGAAAAAAAAACAGATGTAATTAACATCAAGGATGTGCTTACCCGCGAATTCGAATAACAAAGGCGAGTCGTGCTTCGCCAGGAATATAATAATTTCCACGAAGCCTAGCCATGCGGTTCAGCTTGATCTCGTCTCTTTCTTTTTGTCTGTATTCTTTTACATATTTCTCGGCGCGTTTGAAGATCGCTTTCCTTTTCTTATATTGAGCTGCACGATTCTGTGAGAAACAAATATTTATATTAGAAAAATTCAAGTTTTGCGTATTTGAATATATAAATTTTATCCACAACTTGGTTTATTGAATACACAAGATTTTATTTGTATCAGCAACGTTTAATTACCTTGATTGAGATCTTTAATCTCGCAGCTTTTACCGCCTCGCGGGCCTTCCTTCGTTTCAACACCGACTCTGGAACCGCAGGCAGCTTTTTAGCTCCAGCGTCTGCTGGCGCAGCAGGTGCTGGAGCGGTTTCCTTGGAGGTTTCCTTTTTCCTACGCAAAAGAATAAAATGTTCAATACTCAAATTCCATCATCTTTTTTTTTAAAATAAACACACGCGTATAAATTAGTTAGAACTTGCTAGAAAAAAATAGGTTAGGTTATGTTGATTAATGCACGGTTTTAACTGCAAAGTGTATTTATCAACTTTGGTACACTATGCAAATATCAGTGACGACAAGTAACAAAATCAATTTTTAATCAACAAACGTTCGCGCAACAATAAAACACACCGTTACGTCCCGCGAGACACACATTTCTCGACATTCGATTCATTTACATCTTTGATACAAAGATATAGATCAATTAACATAGAGTTTTCCAAAAAATTGTTAATATTACGTGTCTGTGTGCTCGCAATATTATATTTTTCATTGATTCAGTTGGATTTTGGAAGCAATAAAGGTTACTCACGCGTCGGCCATTTCCACTCGTGGCAATAAAGGACCTCCCCTGCAGCAGTGTTGTCGCAAAGTCGCGTTTTCGCGTATGCGCACTGCACCGCCAATCAGTTTCTTCTAAGAGCCGTGTTTTTACGCATGCGCTCTTAAATAGTAGTATCACTGGTCTAGTTTCCACCGAAGCATTAATTCACACCTAATGCGGCGTAGAATCAAATTTAAGTCTATAGAAACGCGTCAAATTGCGCTGATTTCGCTTCCGCTTCGATTTATAAGTACTCTACTTCCAATGAAAACGGAACATTAAATTTGATCTGTACCGGAGTGAAACCGAATTGAGGGTACGGTGGAAACTAGACCACTGCCGTACTACTTTTGACATCATTAAGGTTCTGTTGGGACCGAAATAATTTTTCATAATTAACGTGTTTTCTAATAATATTTATTTTGTTTTTTAATAACATTTAAACAAAACAATATTAAGAAAATAAGATTTAAAAAAGATAGAAATAAATAAACATAGAAATAACATTTGATGTAATATTTTGGCTGTGTTCCAAAATTCACTACCAGCGCTAAAGGTCTATAGTTTACGTCACATATATTATACAATTTTAGCACTGGCAGCGTGCTGGCAGCAATTCTGGAACACAGCTTTTATGTGGCAGAAATCACAAATACCAACATTTGTTGCAGTGGTAAGGAAAACTGCCAAAAACCTTATCAGTATTCAAAAAAACAAACATACATTCTTTTATTTTAACAAAACTAAGTAATATAATAATATATAACAGTCGGTAGCGCAGTGCTACTGAAGAAGTCACTGCGCTACTGACTTCTTCTAGCAGCGCAGTGCGCGTGCGTGAAAACGCGACTTTGCGACAACACTGCTCCCCTGGGGTACATTCCAAAATCCTACCTTGGTTACTAAAATGCTATATTTTACGTCACGTGTACTATAGTTTTCGGTTACCAAGGTAAGATTTTGGAACGTACCCCTGAGGGCGATGTCCCATTGAGCGGAAATATATAGCGGAACGGAATGTGCGGAATCAGCTCGACCAATCATAGCCATTCCGTTTTCTTTCCTTCGCTTTTTCTGTGGTTACGATTGGTCAAGTTGGTTCCGCACATTCCGTTCCGCTATAGATTCCCGCTCAATGCATATATGTAATACTCCTATATTGCTAGTACGGTGCCGACCTGAAGCTCACCGTTACGGTACAGACAATATAGTAGCCTTTCTCTCCAGCTGCTTTGTGCGCATGCGGTGAACATTCAAGCACGCTTGCGCATTTCTCTTTCTCGCGTTCTTTCTCTCACTTTCTAATGCTTTGTTTCGCTCGCACTCACTTGGTAGATGCGCTTGCGCATAATGACGCTCGACCATCTATGCCCATATTTGGACTTTGTGCGTCTCCCTTTCTCGGGCCTCGTGCCTCTCATTGCGAAGATACGCGACTAGCAATATAGGAGTATTACATATATGGCTTAATGGGACATCGCCCTGATCTTTCTCTCCGTCGGAGAAACGTTCGATCGGAAGTGAGGAGCGCGCAGAACCGACAAAGTTCGAACGCGTTGGTTTCCCGCGCTTTCTATTGGCGCGCGCGCGTCTCCGCTTTCTGGCGGTGGCAGCGCTGGCGTCGCCAGAAACAACGCGGTTTCCTCTCATTAGAACATTTCTCGTCCGTGTTTTGCGCCAATTTCAGATTGTTCGAAGCGAAGCGATTGTCCGAGTGATTTTTCGTTTCGCGCAAGTCGTAACAACAATGATTGTTTTGTGTTTTTAATAAACAAAGATGTTTTCCGGGCGTTCTTTTGCAACCAAGCGAACATATTTTGTCGCGAATCTATCTACTGACGTGTGGAAAAAGACGAGGTTTTGAAGAGCGAGGACCCGCAGCGATTTCTCCGACGATCGCGTCGATCGCTCGATGGTGGTTTTTTTCAACAAATGGAGGCGTCGTTCTGTACATCTACCGTCAGATTAGCACAAGTATGTATATTTTAATTTGTTATCGAGAGAAAAATTCACGAATGCTTTTCGCGTCTATATTCGCGCGAAATAAAAAAAATAAATCGCGCGCGATTACATTTTGCGCCGTAGTATTTTTTTTTTTGACAAAATTTTGTGTTGTGCGGAAACTGCGTATATATATATATATATATGCATATATATATATATTTGTTCGCGTGTAAATTTTTACACGCGAGTTTTTGAATTGAATATCAATTCTTAAAATTCATATAGGATGCTGGATTTGCATCACATATATGAGAGATCCCATCTATCCCCTTAACTAATTGATAATTCAATTGATATTAAGAATTGATATTCAATTCAAAAACTCGCGTGTAAAAATTTACACGCGAACAAATATATATATATGCATATATATATATATACAGGGTGTCCCAGAATTGGTTTAACATCGCTCGTACACAGGTAGAAGGAATAAAACTAAGGTGAAAAGTCCTATACCATTTTGCTAGATTCGCAATAGTTACCGAGATTTTAATTAACAAAGATCNATGCTTATTCGCGGATCTTTGTTAATTAAAATCTCAGTAACTATTGCGAATCTAGCAAAATGGTATAGGACTTTTCACCTCAGTTTTATTCCTTCTATCTGCCTACGAGAGATGTTAAACCAATTCTGGGACACCCTGTATATATACGCAGTTTCCGCACAACATCCTGCGATCGGCTCGGATGACCGTATTATTTCTTAGTTTAGTAACTTATCGAGCTTCAATAAGATTTAATTGTTAAAATTTTGTGTCTTTACATGTTTATTTGGAAAAAAATGTGATTTCATATATATATATATATATTTTTTTTTTTATATTGAAATATAACGCACTCTGTGTTTTTGCACAACTGAAAAATGACGCGAAAAAAATAACATATACATATATGGTTGAATACAACAGTTCCATAATAAGTTTGGAAAAAAATGGATTGTATTTTGAAATGTGTTTTTATACATGTGCCCGAGAAATACTTTTTTTTTACACAAACCTACGTTGCGGAGTTGTCAAAAAGTTGTGTATTCAAAATAATTACAATAACATGTGTGCGTGTGTGTTTGTGTGTGTATACAACATTAATCTATTAATAATCCTGCGAACGAAAAACCTAAAAGTAATTACTTATAATTGTTGAAAAAGTGCCCCACCCCCCTCTCGGCTGACGATTTTGATATCGACGTGTTTAATTAATTAATTAAGATGAGAAAATATTGTTTTTCGATTTCCTCACGTATCCCCGTGTGACGTACGTCAAGATCGAGATCGTCGGCGGAGGAGGGGAAAGAAAAATAAATAATTACTTTTCTAAAATAAAAGAAAAAAGTCGCTTTTTCATACAATGCATCATTATTTGCATATATGCTCACAATTATAATTCTATTTACAACTGGCAGAGATGGAAATGGCATTTTAACAGTTTGGTTGGTCCAAGGGTGGTTTTTGTTTTTTCTCTACTTTTTTTATTACGATGACACTATATCTCAGTCCCCTCGCAAGATGAGTGTATAAAAATAAGCTCTTCCTTTTCTTCCTTCTCCGTGTCACGTATAAGATCGTTAATTAAGAGAAAGAGTTAACGATAACTCACATTATCGCTAAGAGCGTGCCATAAACGTGTATATATATTGCTATATATATATGAGCTACCGTACGTAAAACTAAAGACGCGCGGATCGCTGTCAAATCTTACAGTGGTCATTACGCTAACGCAATAGTAACAATAATTAAGTAATAGTAAAAATAATACAATTAATTTATACATTTCGATTATAATTAAGTGGTAACGCGCACGGTATACAATTAGCGTTTAATTTTTTTTTTATTTTTATTTTATTTTATTTTTTTGACAGCGGCCCGAATGTGCTTTGCGCAGGCAGGTCGCTCGCTGGTTCTTTTTTTTTTTGTTTGTTTTGTCAAAGCGGTCAATTGTTTTGTTAACGTCGTTCTTGTACATACAGCGCCCTCAAAATCGCGCGTGCGTGTGTTCGCGTTCCAAACGAATCCTTATTATTTACACGTGGCCGTTACTCGGGAATCAGAAAAAAAAAAAAGTACATGTCAAGCATACCGAGCGGAGCAACGCACAGGCGCGAGAGAGTTCACGAGTCCTGTCTTTTTTATACTTTTTTGTTTTTTTTTTTTTCCGTCACTTCCGTGTCGAGACGCGCTCGTGTCGAAAGCTCATGCTTGCTTCGGATGGGCGACGACCGCGCTCGGTTCCGAGCGGAAACACGACAGGAGAAAACCGGTATACATGAGGAAGAGAATCGCGATCGCGATCAGCATGTACATGTAGATGTTCAGTTCCGGTTGTCGGTATCGATTCTTGCGTAGCCACTCGAGAACGTCCTGTTCGTTGTGCATGTCACCTGTGTGTAAAAAAAAAAAATTAGGATTCTTTATAGGATTTTATTTTGCAGGATATGCGCGAGTGTTTTTGCGTCCAAAAATTTGAGATTTGAGAGGAATAAGCTAGGCTATACTTTGTTCAGAAAACTGATTCGCTCACCTCTGTAAATACTAGGGAATCGTTTGCGAAAGTAAACAATAGCGGGAAGCTTGGTGACTCCCCATTTTCTAGCGTATCTGGGATCCGCCATTTTCACGAACGTGATGTCCAGATTGTCGGTCTCGCCGTCAATCTCCTCCAGTTTCTCGTTCACGTCCTCGCTCTCCTGGCTGTCATGTTCGTCTGAAAAAAATGACGAATGTAAAGACACAGATCACCAAATATACGGTCGTACACCGAAAAAATTGTATTCTTGTTTTGAGGAGAGAGAATATCACACTTACTTTAAGTTATATTTTATAATAAAATAAGCGTCAAGAAGAGTTTCTTATTTTAAGAGAAAAATCCTCTAAATAGTAATGTTGATAAGAATATATACTGATTAGAATATAAAAATCTCTCTATAGAAAAACATATATATATCTCACTATCACACACACACACACACACACACACACACAAAAAAGACTATATTCTTAAATTAAGAATATATTCTTAAATAAAGAATATATTATATTATAAGAAGATTTTGTACTTAAAAAATCTTCTTAAAGATTTTAGATGATATTCTTCTGAAATTAAAAATATATTCTTTATTTAAGATTTTTTAAGTATAAAATCTTCTACTTACAAGAATATAATTTTTTCGGTGTATATATATATACACGTACACCGAAAAAATTGTATTCTTGTTTTGAGGAGAGAGATATCTCACTTACTTTAAGTATATTTTATACTAAAATGGGCGCCAAGAAGAGTTTCTTATTTTAAGAGGAAAATCCTCTAAATAAATAATAATATTGGTAAGAACATATACTGATTAGAATATAAAAAGCCTCTATAGAAAAACATATATATCTCACTATTGTGTGTGAAAAAGACTATATTCTTAAATTAAGAATATATTCTTAAATATAAAGAATATATTATATTATAAGAAGATTTTATACTTAAAAAAATCTTCTTAAAGATTTTAGATGATATTCTTCTGAAATTAAGAATATATTCTTTATTTAAGAATATATTCTTAATTTCAGAAGAATATCATCTAAAATCTTTAAGAAGATTTTTTAAGTATAAAATCTTCTACTTACGAGAATATAATTTTTTTGGTGTATAAAAATCTCTTCAATTTGATATCTCAATTTAAAAAGAATTGTGATTGGCTCACTCACAAAAGAAGACCGCGAGAAACTCGTTCTCGTCCAGCAGCTTGTCCAGCATCTTTTTGTTAACTTCTTCGATCTCGTTCTTGATCTCGAACACGTCCTGGGATGTGAGCCACTGAAGTATCTTGTCTTCCTGGGTGAGATCGCCGTCGTACACAAGCGGCGTTTTCTTCCGGAAGTACACGAGAGACGGAACATTGAGCACGTTGTATTTTTCGGCCGCCTCCGTGCTGGAGATCTTGACGAAGTCGATACCGAAGAGATCCGCCTCGCCGTCGATTTTTTCTAACGCTTCCATAATCTCGTCACATTCCGGACAATCCTCGTCATCTGGGGAAGAGCGAGCGTAAGAAAAAAAAGAAAAAAAAACACTCTCCATTTCGGATGAGAGATCGATTATTGTATTACGTACAAAAGAAAACGGCCAGGAAGGGAGATTCTTCGAGAAGCCGTTCCAACATTCTGTCATTGACGGATTCGATTTCGTCGGCCAGTTCTCGGTTGTCGTCGTCGATCAGCCACTCGAGGACCGACTCTTCGTTCTGAAGATCACCTGCGCGATTTCGAAACGCAAGAGAGAAAACACAAACGAAAATATTCGAATAAAAAAAAATACAAGAATTAAAAACAATAGAAACTTAGGATAAAAAAAAAAAAAAAAAAAAAAAAAAAAAAAAAAAANAAAAAAAAAAAAAAAAAAAAAAAAAAAAGAAGAATCGAACCTTCGAACAAAAGAGGATTGCCGTTCCGGAAATAAACAAGGGCGGGAAACGTCTTGATCGAGTATCGCTTCGCTAGCTGCGGGTCCTGAATCTTCACCATGTGAATCCCAAATACGTCGCACTCGTCGTCGATCTTTTCCAAACCTTCCAGAATTTCGTCGCATATGTGACAATTCGGTTTAGCTGCGACAAAGTAGTTAACGTTGAGATTAACGCGAAAAAAAAAAGTCAGAGAATTAATTGAGATCGGCAGCGCGCGCGTTTGACTTACTGAAATAAACCGCCAAGTACTGAGTCTCTTCGACCGACGTTTCCAGCATCACTCTCGTGATCAGTTCGATACGATCCTCCGTTCTCTGAGTGATCAACCACTGCAGAACTTCCTCCTCCACAGCGAGATCACCTGCGGAAACAAATCAAAAAAGTTTCGCGAATAAATCCAAAAATCACGTTTGCGTGTCACCGGAGGACTTCGTCGCGTCAAAAACTGGCAAACCTGAGAACACGTTCGGCACTTGATTCTCGAAGTAGACCAATACCGGAAAGTCGGTCACGCCGTAATCCTCGGCTACCTTAAAATCCTAAGAAAAAAAAAAAATATATATATATATACGTATATATAAAAACAAATATAACGAAGATGTTCTTTCACCGAAAAAATTGTATTCTTGTTTTGAGGAGATATCCTCACTTACTTTAAGTATATTTTATACTAAAATAGGCGCCAAGAAGAGTTTCTTATTTTAAGAGNAAAATCCTCTAAATAGTAATATTGATAAGAATATAAAAAGCTTCTATAGAAAAACATATATATCTCACTATCGAAAAAGACTATATTCTTAAATTAAGAATATATTCTTAAAAATAAAGAATATATTCTTAAATAAAGAATATATTCTTAATTTCGGAAGAATATCATCTAAAATCTTGAAGAAGATTTTTTAAGTATAAAATCTACTTACAAGAATATAATTTTTTCGGTGTATATACATATATATATACACGTACACCGAAAAAATTGTATTCTTGTTTTGAGGATATCCCACTTACTTTAAGTATATTTTATACTAAAATAGGCGCCAAGAAGAATTTCTTATTTTAAGAGGAAAATCTTCTAAGTAGTAATATTGATAAAAACATATACTAATTAGAATATAAAAAGCCTCTATAGAAAAACATATATATCTCATCGAAAAAGACTATATTCTTAAAAAAATGATGTGTGAAGAGTAGCTCCAAAAATTTTAAAACAAATGATTAATTTAAGAATATAACAATTGTTATATTCTTAAATTAAGAATATATTCTTAAATAAAGAATATATTCTTAAATAAAGAATATATTCTTAATTTTCTTAAATAGAGAATATATTCTTAATTTCAGAAGAATATAATCTAAAATCTTTAAGAAGATTTTTTAAGTATAAAATCTTTAAGAAGATTTTTTAAGTATAAAATCTTCTACTTACGAGAATATAATTTTTTCGGTGTTATCGTGTCACAAGCAGAGTTTTTTGCTTACTTGCGTCTTGACAAACGTGATGCCGTGTCTGTCGCAGTCGTCGTCGATGTTCTCCAGTTCCTCGAGAATGCTCACGCATTGCGCACAGTCGTCGGGATCTAAAGACAGATCCATTGTTTACTCGTCTTTTTTCGCGGAGAAAAATTCTCTCTCTCTCTCGAAATTTAAACTACCTAATAGAGGCGATAAACTCTTAAAGTGACGAAAAAAATCACACATCGATGTATTCATCGACGATGCCAACATTCTACTCGATACGAGGAGTGGGCTAAATACTAAGGCGGAGTATACATTGCGCGTGTAATGTCTTCTATTTTTGTTTGTTTGTTTTGTTTTTTTTTTCGACGAAACAAGCGAGATAAAAATTCGCATGCTGCCGATCAGGATCTGTAGGTCACTACTGGCCGCTGTCTGCTTTGTGTTCTGTTCGCATGCTTTGCTCTCGTGCACACGTGCACCTGTGTAACCCCCGTGTACATAAATAATATCGATATATATATGTAAATATCAGAAAAAAAGAATTTATATAACAAATGTTGTTTCTTGGTGAAAGCGTCTTAACGTGAAACATTCGGCCTGGAAAGCGACGGTTCTACGTCAAATTCTTTGTTAGCTTATAAAAACATCGACGAAGAAGAGAACACTGATATAAACCAACCAGTCCCGTCTTTTTTAGTAGAAATTAATAATGCGTTAATTAATATACATGTGTATAATTTCTCTCTCAAGATTTTGCTCGAGGAAGCAATCATCGTCGATCGTCAGCGTTCTTCAATAAATAAATCACAATAAAAACAGGCCAAATTATAACGAGCAAAACATCAGAAGTTATTTTTATTATTAAAACAATGTATTCAATTTTAACAAACAAATATACGTTTCGACTCTACTTGAGTCTACGTTTGATTTTTGACTTCAACATGATCAATACATTTGTGACGTCGCACATTATTTATTATAATGTGTGAGATTTGTCGTCAAGTAAGTTAATTACAATTATCAACAATTTCAGGAATGACTCTATATGTAGTAACTCGGTAAAACAGTTTTTATATATATACTTATACACAAATTAAAATAATTATATCCAATTATTCAAATTTATATGCCGAATATGTCCATACAATTTTATACACGGAGAATTTCTTTCTTTAAGAGAATGGCTTCAGAAATATTCCATATCAAATTACAAAATAACTCTATTAGTATCATATTAGATACAAAAAAAATTATATAAAACTATATTTTTACTATATTTTTAAAAAAGTTTTGATATATAATCATATATATAAATTACAAAATAACTATTAGTATTATGTTAGATACAAAAAAAATTATATAAAACTATATTTTTACTATATTTTTAAAAAATTTTTGATATATAATCGTATATACTTATACACAAATTAAACTTGTTATATCTAATTATTCAAATTTATATGCCGAATATGTCCATACAATTTTATACACGGAGAATTTCTTTTTTTAAGAGAATGTCTTCAGAGATATTCCATATCAAATTACAAAATAACTCTATTAGTATCATGTTAGATACAAAAAATTGTATAAAACTATATTTTTACTATATTTTTAAAAAAGTTTTGATATATAATCGTATATACTTTAACACAAATTAAACTTATTATATCTAATTTATGCAAATTTATATATACCGAATATGTCCATACAATTTTATACATGGAAAATTTTTTTCATGGGGATAGAATTTATAATATATAATTTATAATACTGAAGAAGACTCAAGTAGAGTCGAAAACGCATATTTGTTTGTTAAAATTGGATACACGTTGTTTTAATAATGAAAATAACTTCTGATGTGTTTCGCTCGTTAATTTGGCCTGTTTTTATTGTGATTTATTTATTTGTAGATATATTACGAGCTTCGTTTTTATTAAATTGCGATTTTGTAACATTATTATCAGTGTTCTTTTTTCCTACGAGAAAAAAAGCGCATGCACTAAATTAACGGTTTTGCACATGTACTCAGGGTATCTCGGCTGTGATCGAGACAACTAATCTGGAACATAGACTAAGAAATTTATAGACGGAGAAGGAATTACAGAGAGAATAAAAACAAAACAAAGATAGAGAAATGAAGGGAATAGACAACGAAGAGAAAGCTCGATAAATCTTGCTTTGATCTTTGTTGTACCGTCGGAATCCTCGGGCCCCTCGTGATCCGCGTTCTTGTGGTCCTGCTTGTGGCGCATCTGCTTGCGGTACGCCTTTGATTGGCACATGTCGCAAAGCGTTCTGTTCCCTACGGCATTATTAGTACACAAAAAACGTGTTGTACGGCATCACGGAGAGCAGAAAAAAGTTGTGACGCGAGCTGTGTGTGACAAAAGTAGAGAACACGGGTGATCGAAGTGAAAAGGTCCGAGAACATTTGTTAGCACCTTCTTTGTCACAGAAATTGCGTGGGAATTAATTTAAGTGGCGCGAAATACATTGCAAGTATCAATCATCGGGGGGAGGGATTTGACATTCTTTCGTCAGATATTCCGCTTTTCTACGGGAACTTCCTAGAAATAGCAGTTTGATCTCGTTAGTTGGACGAATACTTGCCGGAGTTCCTCGTTAAAAAAAAAAAAACGATAGTCGCGTGTTGTAATCGCGCGATGAGAATTTTCTTTTCGCGTTCAAGTAGAAGAGAATTGTGTCGGAGATTCTTTCAGCACAAAGTTGCGCAATTGATGCGACGTTGCAATACTTACAGAAGTACACGGCTAGAGATTCCGATTCTCGTATCAGGTTCAAGAGATCCTCGCCTTCCAATGCCTCGATCACCTCGCCGGACGGATCCTTCTGCGTCATCAGCCACTGCAAAATCTGTTCCTCGTCGTACAGATCGCCTGTCAATCACGCATCAACAGTACAGTAAAAAATCGTGCGTCAAAATGTAGAACTTTTCTTGCGTTACGACGTTTTGATTATCACTTCAATGTAAAATTAACACAATACTGATATGTTATTATTTTTTTAATCTTTTCACGCGTTAAATTTATGTTAACTTCACAAATTAACATTTTTTGCATGTCATTTAAAAATGGAATATTGTTTAAGTGCTTTTTAACACAATGATTTCAATTAATCTAGATGTCTCAAAGTCAATTTAACGTACTAAAAAAATTTTAAAAATCTGTGGCCACATTGTACAAACTAAAATGTTTTATTAACATTTCTTACGAGTTAAGAGGGGCCTGGACCGTTCTGTTATTACCGATCGAAATAATTCGTATTAAGAGGTGTTTTTCGTAATTATTGCTCGGATAGAAAAACGGCTCTACAGAATTAAAGAAAATAATAAAATGTATTTCGGACACTTTTCAATATATCAAAAATGTAACAAAAATTTTTGATTTACAATTAACATCAAAATTTTTTGTCACATTTTTGATATATTAAAAAGTCTCCAAAATACATTTTATTATTTTCTTTAATTCTGTAGAGCCGTTTTTCTATCCGAGCAATAATTACGAAAAACACCTCTTAATACGAATTATTTCGATCGGTAATAACAGGACGGTCCAGGCCCCTCTTAATGTAACTACTGTTTTATGTAGTTTTAATCAGGGACTTACACCGGTATGCAAAATACCGGTATTTTACCGATATTTTTGGGTAATGGTATGAAAACCCTTATGCAAACCGAAATGCAGATATACTTGTATGACGTCATACCGGTATACGATAATACCGGTATATTTACCCATATTTACCTATATTTACCGATAATTTTTTCGTGATTTTTAAAAAGTAATATCTTAAAACTATAAGTGTTGTCATTATGTTGATAACACTTTTTAAGCGATTGATATTATATTAANAAATACATTTTATTATTTTCTTTAATTCTGTAGAGCCGTTTTTCTATCCGAGCAATAATTACGAAAAACACCTCTTAATACGAATTATTTCGATCGGTAATAACAGGACGGTCCAGGCCCCTCTTAATGTAACTACTGTTTTATGTAGTTTTAATCAGGGACTTACACCGGTATGCAAAATACCGGTATTTTACCGATATTTTTGGGTAATGGTATGAAAACCCTTATGCAAACCGAAATGCAGATATACTTGTATGACGTCATACCGGTATACGATAATACCGGTATATTTACCCATATTTACCTATATTTACCGATAATTTTTTCGTGATTTTTAAAAAGTAATATCTTAAAACTATAAGTGTTGTCATTATGTTGATAACACTTTTTAAGCGATTGATATTATATTAAGAAACTAACAGAAGACGATTTTTACAATTTATATATAAATTTGTCCAATACGAAAACATGGGTCAGAGAAAAGCAAATTTTGTACACGAGTATTTCCAGTATATGATTCATCGTGCAACAAATCATTATGTTTAATTAATGATTGTAGACATGAAGTTACTGCAAGTAGTTTTAAATATATTTATATATACTAGACGTCGATTATTTTTTAAATAAAATATATCTTTAGGAAAATCATGCTACAAATCTATTGGCACATGTATCTTTGACTCATCCGCATGAATTTACATTAGTCATGCTACGTAATAAAAGAAAGCATGAAGAAATAGCTGCTTCAATTGGTTGATAAAAAAAAGCGTCTTTATATTTTGTCGGTCTATAAGTCCAATAAGCGGTAGGAAGATTAATTATGCAACAAAAATTGCTATCTAATTTTTAAGAATACCATTAGTAGAAATACCGAAATAATACCGGTATTTTATTACGGTTTTCGGTAATGTATCGGTTTCGGTACTATAACGGTAACGGTAAGACTCAATTTCGGTACTATATCGGTTTCGGTATACAATCTCTAGTATAATACCGGTATTGAAATCATACCGGTATTAAGTCCCTGGTTTTAATTATTTTATATGTTATTTTTACATCACGCTTACAGTCAAAATAACAAATATAAATGTAAAGTATTGCGTCAAGTATTTGACTTTACTAGTTTGTCAATAAGTGACTCGCAACGAATGAGTTATTTTAACGTAAAATTTAAAGTGGACCTCCTGGAAGTGGAACATGCAAAAAATGTTAAAATTACCATTTTTTTTTTACTGTGCAGTACAGTCGTTTTTTATCCAGTCTGTCTGACGTAAGATTGTTTGTTTGATCGTCTCTTTGTAGATACCTGCGTATATCACCGGTTCTTTCGAGCCCATTTTGAAGAACAATATAGCCGGTAGCGCGAACACGCCGTAATGCTTTGACAGTTGTTTGTCGTCGATCTTCACGAACTTGATACCGGCGTTGTCGGCCTCGTCGTCGATGTGCTCGATCTCCGCCAACACTCGGCCGCATTGTTTGCAGTCGTTGCTGTCTAAACAAGATGCGCGACGTATCAAACAACGCGAGATAAAAAAAAAAAAATTAAAATTCTGCGACCGCGCGCACGTGACGGTCGCCAAAAACTCGGAAGTATTATTTTACACTTACAGAAAAATACGGCTAGGTAATCGGTCGTTTGCCGAACCTTCTCAAACATCTTCTTGTTGATGCGCTCGATGTGATCGGTGAGCTCCATGTTTTCCGGATTGGTCAGCCAGTCGAGGATCTCCTCCTCGTCGTCGATGTCACCGTCGTAGTTGATGCTCTTACCTTTGCGGAAGTAAGTGATACCAGGCGGATCCCGGAATCCATATTTCTTCGCCATCAACCGATCCTTCATCCGCACGATTTTTATCCCGTACTCCGCGGCCTCGTCGTCAATCAGTTCGATGTGCCTGAGCACTCTGGGACTTTCCGGATCCTCCTCTTTGTCTTGAACGATTTTTTTTTTTTTTTTT